GCTTTAAAGGTGATAACCAACACCTTGAATTGGACCCGGAAACAAACTGGAACCCAATGCATCTCCCGCAGCAAAGGTGTTACATGTGTCATCCTTGGGGCACCCAAGATTGCCCACACAGCCACATTTTGAACCAGCTATAGCTTTCAGATACTCTTCAAGGGTAGCCCCATGTAGAGCACATTGCAGTAATCTAATCAAGAGATGATAAGGGCATGAGTGACAGACCGGAGTGACTCCTGATCCAGGAAGGGATGCAACTGGCGCACAACACGAAGTTGTGCAAAGGCCCTCCTGGCCACAACTGCCATCTGTTCCTCAAGCAGGAGTCGTGAGCCCAGGAGAACCCCCAGATTATGCACTGGGTCTGTCTGGGGCAGTGCAACCCCACGGAGAACCAAAGATGGTAAATCTCCAGATACAGAGGAGCCTCCAATCCACTGCCACTCCGTCTTACCAGGGTTCAGCTGAAGCCTGTTGTTCCCCAGCCAGACCCCTACAGCCTCCAGGCACTGCGAAAGGGTAGTCACAGCGTCACTCAAGTCACCCAGGATGGAGATGTATAATTGGGTATCATCTGCGTATTAATGATACCTCATCCCATGGTGGCAGACAATCTCACTCAATGATTTCTGTAGATGTTAAAAAGGAGCGGAGAGAGTACTGAACCCTGCAATACCCCATAACAGAGGGGCCAAGGGCCAGACTTCTCACTCCCAATCAACACCGATTGGTACTGCCCTTGGAGGAAGGAAGTGAACCAGCACAAAACTGCACCGCCCACTCCCAACTCCCTAAGTTGACCCAAAAGGATACCATGGTCGATGGTATCAAAAGCCGCTGAGAGGTCAAGAAGAGTGAGGATGGATGCACTATCCCCATCCCACTCCCGCCAGAGATTGTCCATGCTGTTTCTGTCCCATATCCGGGCATGAAACTTGACTGAAAAGGGTCCAGATAAGCTGTTTCATCCAGTATCCTCTAGAGCTGCAATGCCACCACCTTCTCAACCACCTCCCTAAAAAAGGGGGGTGGGAGACTGGACAATAATTGTCCAGTACGGGGGGGATCCAGGGATGGTTTCTTGAGGAGATGCACCAATGCCTCTTTAAAGATGACTGGAAACACCCTTTCCCTCAAGGATCAATTCACCATCAGCTGGACCCACCCACAAGTCACCTCCTGAGTGGCCTTGACCAGCCAGGAGGGGCACGGGTCTAGATGACAAGTGGTGGCATTAACAGTCCAGAGGACCCTGTCCACTTCCTCGGGTCCAACAGGATCAAACTGTTCCCAGATAACAGGGTAAGTCCATACGCTGGGCATCTCCCTAGGCCATGCCCCGCTCTTGGAATCCAACTAGGAACAGATCCGAGCGATTTTATCCTCCAGATGCTCAGCAAACTCCTCTGTGCGGCCCTGTAAATGGGCCACTGGGCCCTCCTTTCCCAAAAGGGATCAGGTGATCTTAAACAGGGCTGCGGGGTGGCATTCTGCAGATGCAATAAGAGTGGAGAAATACTGATGTTTCGCTGCTCTTACTGCCCCAAAGTAGGCCTTAATAGTGGCTCTAGCCTGTTCGGTCGGGTTCAGTCCCTGTTTTCTTCCAGCGGCACTCTAGACGTCTCTTAACCATTTTCAAGACCCTCAACTCCTCCATAAACCATTGGGAGTGTCGGGCTTGATGGATCAAGAGAGGATATATGGGCACGATCTTGTCCAAGGCCTCATCAGCCTTCCTATTCCAGGTGGCGGCCAAGGCCTCCACTGGACCATGCAGCAGATCCTTAGGTACAACCCCCAGCTCCCTTTGGAACCCAACTGGGTTCATCAGTCGCCAGAGGCGGGCCAGTTGAATAGGTCCTGCCTCCCTGTGGAGGGGGCAGAATGAGAGAATCTCAAGGTCACCAGGGCATGATCTGACCACAATTGGGACAGATGTAACTCCCCCTTCAGATCATCTTGCCACTGCTCTGACAAGAAAACCAAGTCCGGTGTGAGACCACTGTCCCGAGTGACAGAAAGAAGATTATGTTACTTATTTGTGACACCATGAATGACTACTATACTTACTTTGAATACTTTTAAGTTTTACTTTAAATTGTGACACATGATGTATTATATTGAATTCCATGGCTCTTTCTTATATGAGAGAAAGAAAGATATCTGCCATCTATCACACATTATCTCTGCCCAAGGCTTTTTCAAAAAGGCGAAGTACAAATAAAATAAGTAATAGTAAAAACAAACACAATGTGATGAAGTGAATGTAAAAACTAATGCAGCAATAGCACTAAATCTGTGGACAAATCTAAATATTTCCAGGAGGAATTACAGAAAAAGTATAATTCAAAGACAATGCATTCATCCTCACCTCTTGTGCTAATCTGAAGGCACAAGCGAATTGTTCTCCATCATTATTGCGACACCACACTTTTATCCCTGTATTAATAACCTATAAGGGGTTTTAAAAAGCAGAGTATTTCAGCATATTTAAGTATTATAATATTAAACAGTAATTTGAAACAGTTTCGCAGGAATCAGCACCAACAATATATACTGATAAAGTGAGACATGCAGTAGTACAGGCATTTAATAGAGTTATATTAATCATATAAGGATTATATTCAATATATATTCTTCATAAATATTGAAATACACAGAGAAAGGTATGATTCTTCAAAGCAAACCCCAAATGAGCATAGGTAACCATAAGGTCTCATCGGGGGACTGGAATGAAGGATCCATTTAGGGTCTAGATCTAGGAAACCACTCAGAGGAAAAAGGACTCAGTGAAGGCATTGCCCTCGGTGGAAGTAAATCTAAAGTTCCAACAGGAGAAAGGGCTGCTGGGAGAAAAACATCTCAGGTTTACTGGGACGACTCTAGTTAGTTTGAGCAGAGGCCTGTAAGTCCAAGAGAAGAATCTGCTGTCATCTTCCATTTTCCTGAGGAGGAGCAAATGGACATTTTCAAATATTCTAAGCTTATTCTTTCCCCCCCCTATATTGGGAATTTGACTTGGCAAGAAATATGTCTGCAAATTATCCATATATAGCTTTTTTTTTTTTGCATGATCCTGTCTTATGGATTAATTAATTAATCCAGAATTAATACTTCTGATAGAAGTTAAGTGTGTGCATGCACTTTGTTCATGGATTCTCTCTCTGGCGTCTTGCAACCAAAAGCAGTTAATGTGCCAAGATCCCTTAAAAAGACTGCTAGAAAACAAACCATGTAGGGATCATGGCTGGTTTGCAGGCCCAGTAGTTGGGAGAGGAACCATTACATGCATTTGTGGCTAAACCACACTTTGGTGGCCAAGATGAATAAACAGACTGCTTACATAAAACTCTCACTCTTCCAATAATCATGTGTGCATTGACATGCATGTGGGTCCTCCTGTAATTACAGTGTCCTTTGGAATGTTCTAGAACTGAGCTGCTTTTTGGCAGCCCCATGGAGCGCTATCTTCACTCTGCCTACCTGTAGGATCTATTGCCATTTATCTCAGTTCCTTGAGGCACTGTAGGATATCCTACAAAGTATACAAATGTTTGGGATAAAGGGAAGATTGAGTGATCATCTACCCATTCATACAAGGAACCACAATTACAGATAAATCACCTGTTCTTTTTCATGGTGGCCTCTGTACATCACACATACAGATGGTTTGCAAGCTGTATTCATCAAAGGTGGGGCAGATATGTCACTATATAAAGAAGAAAGTACCTCCTCTTCAAAAACAGTATCCAGCCTAGTATTGGTTCTACTCAATAGTTTTGCGTAAAGGCCATTGGTTGGGATCAAGCTGTCTGTCAACAAATATCAGGGAGTGATATACTGCTGGTGGTATTACACCTGCCCTTAAGAAATGATCCCACGGTGTGCAGCAGAGGAAGCTTGGGCTTTGTTAGTTGAATGATTCTGTAATCCAACGTGCTATTCTTTATGGAGAGGTTATTAAGTCTTCCTTAGACATAAATTTTTCTTTGACAATGCATATAAAGTGGCAGTTGTAATATCTGTTAGAAAGACTATGCCCTAGATATAAAAAAAGCCAAGACTTGCCAAACAGCTAATGAATGCAAGGATGATTCCAACATAGCTGTTGGAGAAGGAAAGTAACTCAGTAAAATAAATGAAATAAAGTACTGTATGTCAGATGCAATGCTGCAGTAGTTGCATGAATTCAAGGCCAGGAATGGTTACGAACCCATCAGTTGCTGTCACCAATGAAAGATCGTGAGGTACAAACTTAAATATTATAATAGGGGAATCTCCTCTGAGCCAAATGTTATTTATCTAAGACTTTGCAGAAATTTTAATCCTGTAAGAGCTCTATCTCACTCAGGCATAGATTCCTGTCTCCTGTACCCTCAAACTTTTTTGATTCATCTTAGGAGGGGCAAGCAGTGTCTTGCAGAGCTTACTGATTAACTCCCTCATCTGTAGCAGCACTGTTTGGCCAGCCTCAGCTTGATTTGGAACATATGTGTTGGCTGGTTCTCCTGGGCTTTACCCCAGTTGTTCTCTCTCCTCTTATCTGAGGATTTATCAGTGATAGGTATGACACAGGGTATAATAAGCGTTATTTTTATTTATTTAATTTATTTATATATCACATTTATATAGCCACCCATCTCACACAAGCGGCTCTGGGCAGCTTATTATTAAACTTTGGAGGATATAAAAGTCACTTCCATCTTCTCATTGGCAATGGTTTGTTTTCTATAGTTTCAGTCTTATCTGTAATAAACATTCTAATCTAGCTAGTCTTCTGCCAAGTCTGAGGAGTTGAACTACACTGTGAAATGTCAGTTCCATGATTTACTGCCTAGTCAATTCAAACTGGTCTTTTCACCTCCAAACCTATGGCTCTGGTCATCCACAATATTTGTTCAGTGTAGTGATAAATGACTTTAAACAGAGATATACTAGTGGCTATCTTGATAATACTTGCTAATGGGATGAGAGGAAAGGAACTACTGACATACTGAAGACCTAAGTTGAATTCATATACTTCATCTGAAATCAGCAACTAGAAAGCAGAGACAGCAAGAGGAGAAACAATGAAACCAAAGGCACAAAGTTGTATTGGATCACAGAGCTTCTCATATGAAAGTAACCAGCTTCGTATGAGGAAAAAGCTTTGCATATTCTCCTTGATTCTCTGAATGCTGCTGGTATAACATGATATACAATTGGAACCTATCATTCTCTAATACAAAAATTAACTGTGTCAGCTCTTCAAAGTTGGCCAGGTCAGGGAACAAGGCATCACAAGGCTTATGGGAATGCTTCTTTATTGCTGTAGGGTATCATAAAAGAATCTTGAAAGCCTGCCAGAGTTTTTTCTTTGTCCCTCTTAACCAAATAGAATCAATTTGTTTTTGTTTTTTAACATTTAAACAATTCCCTTTTTCCAGGACCAGGTTAGAGTTTTGCAATATCTGTCAGTTATCTGTCAATATCTTAACAGTTTTTGCATTCCTTCATCAAGGTTATCGCCATATGCCTCTACATAATGTCAATATTGATCATAGTCCAGCCAAGCACTGTAATATGAATGGACAGGACTGGAAACAATCCCTGCTTAAATAATATGAGCCTTTCCAGTGAGGAGAGAATGCCAAGCACACGAAACAATCAAAATCCAGAAAAACAGCATATTGTTAGGAAGAGACAGATGACTTGCGGTAATCCTGATGGAGAACAATATCTTTACCAGAGGCTGCTTATTTCTTCTTTGGAAACTGAGCTTTGGAAACTTCTTTTGGAAACTGAAACTGAGGCAAGCCCTGTCTGGAAGTGGATTGCTGGGAGCAAGCAACAACTTCGTGAAAGCCAATTATGGCTTGAAATGAGTAAACAAAAGACGACTTAGCAAGGTGGCAGAAAGTGGTAATGGCACCAATGTTGGGTCCTTTCACTCTTACACAGGACAACATTTTCTTCTGGGGATATATCTCTTTATGTAGGATCTATTACCAGTAGGGTGGGTCAAACTGTACTTCAAGATCAAAACTGTTGGTACCAGAGCAAGCAGTGGCATTGATTCATCCAAATCTATTGGTTCAATGGCAGAAGTTATCATTATCATAATGGACATCAAAATTGTGGGAAGTGTTAATGTCTAAGGTACTCCACCTGAAGGTGCTTACAGGCAGCCTTAAGTGATATTGAAATTGCAACACGAGACATTTGAAGAACCTGTTCCCAAACCAGAGTTCAGACTTGAGAGCAATTGTTGCAGTGGACCCATGTTGTAAATTTTAATAACAGCGAAACTTCCTCTGAAGCACAAAAGATAGTCAGTGTCTGATTCAAGGAGGAAGTTTATTCCTGCATTTAACACATTTTCTAAAAGAAGCCTTCAAAATCATAAAACGCCCAGAGGCATGCCAAAACATGCCAAAGATAACAGATAAAATAGTTTTAAGGTAAACTCTAGTATAAAACAAAATAATGAAGTAAAATATGCATTCAGATACTGACTATCTCAACAGACAGAGAAGGCTGTGCCATTGTATTGATAAAATAATACTTAAGATTAATGGCATTAGGTCCTATTTATTTATTTACAATACTTACAACCCACCCCAATCCCAAAGGACTCTTGGCAGCATACAAGAGCAAACAAAAAGAAAAATGCAATAATAAATAACTAAATCCAAATCAATATCAAAATCAAAAAACTAGAGAGGCGGAGCTGGCGTCGCGGCGGTACGGTGTGCGATCTGGAGCTCCCAAGATCGCAGCTGATATCTCCGATGCTGGACGGTCCCGAAGGACCTAAGCCGTCCCGTAGAGACGGCGACTAGATAGGGCACGTCCTGTTGATCCCAGGGAT